ATGTGGCAGACTATTCGGACAAGTTGTTCCGAATTTTGGACTTTTTTAATTGAGAATTACAAGACTACAAGGGGTTGGATATTTACCCACATTAACTTATGTATCAAATCAATCAATATTAGTCAACATGCAATTATCTAAAAAAAACTGCATCAGTGGCTGGCGGACCGTATTATATCCAGTTATGCATACTCAGATTTCATAAGAATGATAACACTCTATGTTTTAAAGACAAAATGGGCAAATTAATATGTACATAGGAAAAGTAGTGCATAAATGTCTATTACATGCAATTTCATGGATGGAAGTTCCATCAACTTCATGATGTTTCATGGAACATGTTAGCATTTGCTTTGCAGCATCGTGTATCGCTTTTATGTACATAATAGGCTGCAAAAATGTATAAATGGGCAGTATTTTTTTTAAAAAAAGCACAAATAACAATTCGCATATGCATAAACTTCAATTTACTTTTCATCAATCTCTAAAATTGCATACTTATCGACGATAAGTTATCGTAATTACATTGTAGTTCGCCTTGTTTATGATTCTGCTTCATGCAACAAGTTTTTAAAGCATCATGTATTACTTTGCATCCTGAGAAAATATTTTAAAATAGGCAGTATTTTTTAGCATAGCACAAATAATAATTCGTAGGTAAACTGTAAATGAGTTATTTTCCAAAATTTTCATGCTTATCGTATTTAATTAGACTTATCAAGATTACTATTTTAGGAGCAGTTTTAGTGTTTGAAAAAGAGGCATCTTCCTTCTCCCCAGATCACGTGACGTATGAAAAACAGGAAAGATATTCACACTCTACGTCACCAGCATCCAACCCCTTATACATAAATAGAGGTGGATTTATATTTCACTCCTTGGTAACTTACGCCATAGTTAAATTATAACATGGGTGCAAGTTACCCAGAAATTGGATTTTACTTATTGCAAACGACCATTTGTCCTCTCCACGTGCTCCATGAGTGCTCCCACGTGGGAGGAGAATTTGGACAACAGGAAAACCTGCACCCAGAAAAATCCGTGCACTGCTGTCCAAAACTCACAACTCGCCTAACCTGGAAATACATGGGGCATGTTTTTGGTCACCCTGATTGCTCATTGCATCCAATAATCCCAATCGCATTACCAATTTTCACCCTTACCCTATTAATTTTGGATACTTTTAATGCATAATTAGTCTCATAATGACTTGATTAATACAAATTTCTGAACTTGAATGGGTTAGTTTGTACGGAAATGGTGAAAATTGCATGTGAAATAAGATAAGGTTGGGGGAACTGAAGAGGTGAAAGAGTGTTATTATAAATATGAAAATCCGTCAAACTCACTTTGTCCTCCTTCGGGGGGACATATACTAAAATTGGAACGATACAGAGAAGATTAGCATGGCCCCTGCGCAAGGATGACACGCAAAATCGTGAAGCGTTCCACATTTTTTTGCAAACTTTTTATTTGCCAAAATTTACACAGAATTTGTTAAAACTTTCACGGCAAAGCGTATTTCATTTTGAATAGGGTGGCATTAATTATTTTAAGATAAATTGTCTCGTCCATTGTCAAGGACAAAATTGTTCGGAATAATTAAAATTATTATTTATTTATTTCAACACTAAAATTAGAAAATCTGATAAAATATGAGGGTTTATGGCATGTATTGAATGCATTAAATTAATTTTTCCACCACCACGTTTGATGTTGTTTGCATTAATTGCATTTTGCATTAGTGGAGTTATTTGTAGTTTGCTCCAAAAATTTGTTGCTTGCAAAAAAAACCGAAACCCCGACATACCTGTGTAATGGATGACCGGTTTCTGTCCGATAATGTCTAACGTATGTATTGATGTATTTGAATCGAGTTGATATTTAAGAGGAGGAAATATTTATTACCGAGGAATATTTACAGTGATGAAAAAATTTTCAAACTCTAATAAAATACTTATCCGGTGAACTTTACCTCCCAGAAAGCAGCAATTCATGAACAATATGTTAGGTAAGCTAATACATTGATTAGATATTGACATATTTACATGTGTAAATAAGTACATGGTTAGATTGTAAATTTCATTCTCATCTTCCCCCACGCCTTCGAACTTACGGATCTACCCCACACATGCTGAATCACACGCAAATATACGTATGAGAAGCGGACCCACAACTTATCTTGAACCACGGTTATCCTTCGGAAAACTAATTTCGAGTTACGTATATTTAAAAACGTTCCAATGAGTAAATTGTATGTCGTTGCTGCGTAGTAATAACAGGGATTTATGCACCGCACATATCTACATATGTACATCCACAAATAGCTACATACATACTTATGTACTTTTAAAATATTTCGCAAAACTATAAAATGCTAAGAATGGACGGATGTACCGAATAATATAATAATTATGCAAATATGAATCTATGCACACATAGAACTGGTGACGATGTACATAGAATCGCCAAATTTGCACGGTGCAAATAAGTAAATACGTAAAGATATGTATCACGTTTATCCGTTTTGTGTGAGCATAACCATCCATCTGTGGTAACGCAAGTAGGATATTCCGACTTTGCTAATGGTTCAACATTTCTTATCATGGGGCCAAGGTTATAAAAAATAAACTGGAATTGTTGAGGGGACAACATTCTCGCGAGATGAGGTTGTCATTTTGATTAATTTAATGGCTCTTATTTACTGCTCGATGGATTTGGTGGATCTTCATGCTATCCAGTCATGGAATTTTCTATTACAAAACTTACTGTTTGTTTGCTCAAATATTTAAAGCTGGTGTTACGCAAGTTCTCATACATATGTATATGTAAATATGTACAAAGGGATGCAAGCGTACGAATGATGTAATTTTTGTCAGGCCGAAATTTGGTCTTCTAAATTTAGGATGAAAGCTCATATGCCAATGCACTATGGGCCAGGATCCCTAAATTGTGGCCAAAAATACAATTAAGCCTGAAGTGAGGTCAAGTCTCAGGTTACCCCATAAATTGGAAAGGTCTCGGCGGGAGGATTCAGAATATATATACTTTGTGAGGTCTGGGACCACCCCCTGATGATTTAGAGACCCATGAATGTTATTGAGTTTTTGTCGATAATTGCTATGTTAGCTCCCAATCTACTGCTGTGTTAACGGCTAAATACCTGCAAAACCAAAACTCAATAATATTCGTCGGTCTCTAAATCATCAGGGGGTGGTCCCAGACCCCACAAAGTATATATATTCTGAATCCTCCCGCCGAGACCTTTCCAATTTATGGGGTAACCTGCATTTATGGGGCTACGTGAGACTTGACCTGGTGACCTTTGACGGGTTAAAACAAGGTCATGCAGGTCGAATTTCGGTTTGAGGGTAACTTGAACATTGTTCAGGACCATCAGGGCTGCAACATATCAAAAAAATCAGCCAAATCGAACCGACGAGCATTTTGCCAAGCTTTGTGTGCATTGTGGAAACTTAGTGTTTGGGAAATCAAACCGTGAAGGAGTCTTTGTATTTGTATGGAATAATTTTTGTTTGACAATTTCATCAAATATCGGTTAATATAAACTAGCAGTTCCTCACAAGGTGCTAAAAATAACGAAATGAAAAGTCCTAGCGAAGAAATTCCTCCTCGCGCTGCGAACTAATTATTTTAAAGTCATCCAACTGGGGATGGCCTAGTTCAAATTCTGCTTGATGGTCGCAGCAGAATATATTCCCGACACTATTAGATACCGAATAGTACAAGTAGTGGCTCAGATAGGGGTGGATCGGGGCGGATCAGTTAGAAGATGTCCGAGCCCTATATCCGTAATGTATTACGAAAAGTTTGTCAATTTTTTTCTCTTTAATGACTTTAACGATGACCTTTATATTTTGCATGGATAACAAGTTGGTTATGTAGAACACGATGGCATACGTCTTTTATCAATTCGAGATAGTGCCTTAATGGCCACAATTTAGTGATCCTGGCCCATAGTGCAATGGACGGCATAGAATTTAACTTGTGACATTTCGTACATCAGAATTTCAGAAATTGTCGTGTTAATTATCTCTCGCAAATTGTTATAGTTTTTCACTAGTAAGTAATTCTATGACTTTTGGTATGTAAGAAAAATTTTTGCTTGTTGGTATCTGGATATTAGCATTTATGTTGTAAAAATTGGTGATAAAGTTTGGACGTCAAAAACATGCAACGTTGGTATTTATTTTATCAGCGTTATAACTTTCAGATTGCTTGATGAGTTTTGGATTTCATCAGGGTCGGAAAATCAGTGAAATCCGAAATCAGTGAAACAAGTAATATTTGAAATCTCTAGTACGTGAAATTTAATTTAGTAGACAAGAACAATACGCAATCACTAATTTATATACATATGTACGTATGTAAATACATATTGCGTATATTTTCTTACTTCGTAGTAAAAATGTAGCATATGTTAAGCCTGGACTTATTTATTTTTGTGTTAAATAATTTTTTATATTACACGGTTTTTCTGATACCGATCCAGAATGAATTTAGTCAAAGGAAAATAAAGCTTCAAGTTTTTACAGTTTTTACAGTTCATGTTTTTAAATAATTGTGGTTACTTGTTATGAAATATGACGGGAATAAATATGACGAGTGCTTCTTTTTGTGCGAAAGTAATTACTTGTATTCACCCATGGGCACATATTTATTTTTGTACGCATATATATTTCATTTTATGCCAAAAATTTCAATAAGTAAGTAAATTCTTAAAATATCGTGTTTCTTGATACACATGGAAATTCCGTGATGGAATTTATTTGTACGAATAAATTTATCGGCCCAGGTAAATATGATTGCATTTGCATATACGTATATCTAACACTTGCAGAAATAATTGTTCAATGAGTTGATTGTGAGTTTGCTTCCCACTTTAGATTATTCACTATCTTATCTCTGGGGTTTACTTGTTGCCCTGTTTATAACGTTGGCAGGACGGTTAGATTTATCTGGTATATGTACTTGCCACGTAGGCAACAAACCGACAATAAATAAAATTGCGCAGTTAACTTTGCTGACAGAATAAAATTACTCACCTCCGTAATTTTCAAATTAATTTCTCCAGTTGTCCTGAATCGTAAAATGGCCTCTTCATCTAAACAGTCTACTTTTGAGTCACCCTTGATTTACGAAACCTGCCTGGGTAACGGCTCGTTCGGCATAGTCATAAAAGCCTTGGATTCATTTTCGACTGCCACCGCAGTAAAGTTTTTATTCCCATCCACCGATCCTAATGATTCCAAGCAGCTAGCAAATATTTCTCGCGAGTGTGCCATTTCCCGTACACTAGCACATCGCAACATTGTGAAAGTGTTTTCGGTTATTGACCGTAAATTTTCCATGCTCGAACTGGAAAACATATTCCCGGATTCAATATTACAAAACGAGGAACAAAAAGCACTAAAAGATACATTTCTCGGCAAAGCAAAGCGGGAAGGAGAAATTTCTGTAATTCAAATCCAAATGGAACTATGCGGCGAGAACTTACGAAAGTGGCTAAATTCTCCTGATTCGAATAATAGCCGAAGTCTTAATAGAGTTCAACTTACGATCGTACAGAATCTTGTTTCTGGTTTGGACTATTTGCACGACAAACAAATTATTCACCGAGACTTTAAACCAGAAAATGTTATGTTCTCTAAGGCTGGATTCGTACTTCCGGTAAAAATTGGCGATTTTGGGCATTGTCGAAACATTCATTCCGTCAGCAGCAGAACCAATAATTTAACAAGTGGGGTGGGGACACAAGACTACATGGCGCCAGAAGTCTTCACGAACAACTATGGCTCTCAGGTTGACTTGTATTCTCTGGGGCTCGTGATCTGGGAGGTTATCGAGCCGATTTCATCCCGCAAAAGAAAAAACCTTTTTGATCGCCTCGTGAACGATAAGGAAGAAAAATTAGTTCCTAATTATCCTAATTTTCCAGGCGGTGCTCAAATAATCATAAATTTAACTAAACGAGGGGTTACAGAAAGGCTGCAGAATATAAAGCAGGTCATGACCTTCTTAAATGAAATGGATTCAAAGTAAGGATTTCTAACCCACCCACCAGTTATATTTTATTAACATCTAATTCATTGGCTTCTAATAAAATGTTACAGCTTCTCAGGCGACACCAGAAGTAAGGAAAGTTTAATTCTGGACATAATTGGTATATGCAGACTCAGTTTATACTCGTGATCCACTCTGGAAATTTTTTTGTCCGCTTGATCTTAAACGCAAGTAACTAGGGCTGGAAACCCCGGTTTCTTTCTAGAACTCATGTTTGTGCGGCATTTCCGATAAAAACATTCCGAATCTCATTAACAGCTTGAAAAGGATTTGTTGTAATGTAAATTAGACCTGGTTTTTGTTTAAGAAATTTGATTTTGAAAAAGTGAAAACGGGTTTATCGGATGACCGGTTTAAGAAAATTTTCAAAACCCAAAACCGGTTTTACCATACCTTCCATTTTTGCCATATTTAGAACCCTTATTCAATGTGTGTTCTTACTTCCAGCTTGAATCGCTACAAATCGTTGTCTATATCCTTCTAAGAAAACATACTTGTAAGAATCAGTATTTATTTTTATAGATATGTCTTCCGAACGTAGTCAGATCGATGCTAAAATTATTGCATCAACCATCCGAGGGGAGCCTGTCCAAATCGTCAACTTTAGACGCTTTCGCAATCAACGGTCCCAACTCATCCTGAACAGAAATAATCTAGAGGTGATCCTCCGTCAGGTAGGAAATACCCCCATCTGCCTCATCTCCATCGCCGGTGCATCTCGTCGAGGTAAATCATTCCTCCTCACCGTCATTCTAAACGTGCTGGAATGTTTATCACGAGGACAAACGGATTACTGGGACCATCTCGACCAGATGAATAGCTTGAGCGGATTTCATTTCAGAAATGGCAGTGAACCTGACACTGTGGGTTTATGGTTATGGTCGAAACCATTCATCATTACGAAATCGGACCGTACTAAAATTGCCGTGATGCTGATGGACACCAAGGGAATATTTGGCGCCTTCCCGAACAAAAGAGACTGGGTCATGATTGTCGGTCTCAGCCTCCTCACCTCTTCCTGCCTGATCTACAACTTATTCTCCAACATACAGGAAGACGCGTTGAAAATACTTCACAATTTTGTCGAATTTGGAATGCTTTATCTAGAAGAGGATCCCACTGCGACGAGTGTCTTTCAAAAACTCATCTTTCTCATACGGTATTATACATATTTATGTGTGCTTTCGAGTGATAGATGTCTATCAATGACTAGAAAATACTGTTTTCAAAATAATATTTAATACTAATTTACGTCTGACAATGAAGGTCTCTCAGCTCACAGAGTTTTTAGTGTCAATCAGTGTCAATTTAATTAATCGCAATTTGCCAATCGCAATTTGCAGGTTTGACGGAGATACATATTTGCAGTCGAAGAGGAAAAAACGAGCTCTAAACTCGACGAATTTTAAACTTTCCGAATTTACTGTGCGTTTTCTCCTCTCTGGATGCTAATATCTCTGCCAAACGTGACCATTGGCAGATCTGATCTGCCAGATCACGTCTTCACAAATTTCATATTAATTACACTCATGATCTATTGACACTAGTTTAGTTGCTTAAAATCTGCGAACTTGTGTTGCGAGACCAACATTGTAAGGTACTAATCCTCAGTTATCGAGTACAAAATATCTATTCATTACCAGAAAATTTCATTAAATACAATAAAATTGGCCATCGTAGGGACTGGGGTTATCCTAACCATTGCACTTACGGGCCGCTTGGTGGTTCCAAGTTTCTAGAGGAGCAACTGGCCGTAACTCCCAACATGCCATCGGAAATTAAAAGTGTGAGGCAAACGCTGACCACATGTTTTGAAGATATTTCCTGCTTTCTCATGCCCAATCCGGGCGAGGCTGCAAACGAGCATAACTTTTCCGGAGCTTTGAATACTCTTAGTAAAGCATTTCGTGAAAACTTGCGCATCTTTGTGGACAATTTGATTTCATACGATGACCTAAAACCAATCAAAATCGGGAACAATATCATTGACGGGCCCGGCCTGGCAACTTATTTTGAAAAATACATCCAAGTTTTCAACGGTTGTGGGAAACGACGGTTGTGGGAAACGATCCCACAACCAAAGTCGCTTTATCGAGCCATGGAGGAAGCCAGGTTGCATTTGTGCGTTACAAAATGCAGCAACCAGGCCAAGGAGAAATTGGAATTGTTACAAAAATCATGCGAGTACATCCCAAGCCATGAATTCAAGCTGACTTGCGACAAGTTTCGGAGTGAAGCTGTGACAGGTATGCATATTTATGTGGATAATTTCTAACGTAGTTTCTACTCATCGTCAAAATAACCGAATTTGTAATCGTTTCTCGGCTCTGGAAATTTATTTAAAACTTCTGGACTGCAAGTTTCTGAAGCAAGTTGTTCCCAAATTGTCTTTAAACATGCACTCCAGATTTCACAGTGTTTGAAGAAGAGGTCGCAAGTTTAAGAAAGCTTAGGAAAAATTAGACCTAGTGCAAATTCGTCGTCCAGAATTTAAGAATAAATTCTCAAAGCTACGAAACGATTAGAAATGTATTGATCTTGACGATTTTCCTGATGAGTCGTACGCTAATAATTTGTTATAATCAACATACACTTTTTATCAGAGTTCATGGCGGAAGGGAACAGGCGTAAAAATCTAGTGTTGGTCCAACCATATCGTGCCATACTTTTGTCGAATTTAGAATCTTTATTTGAAGAAAGTTTTGCCACAAATGAGGCATCCAAGAACGCCATTCTGAATCAAATCGTGGATACCCACTTCGCACAGTATAAGTCAATTTTGGTAGAGAAAACGCGACAAACCCTCCTCGAACAAGACTTGGATGACATATTGAATTCTGCAGAGAACAGCTTTTTGCTAAATGTTGCCCAAAGTGTAGGAGGAAGAGATGCCGAATTTCAGAGAGAGGCTGAAACCAAGATTAAAGAGTTAATGAGCACGGAAAACACAGCAGTGCGACGCCAAAATTCCGCTACAATGAGGGAAATTGATTTTGCATATGCCAAAATTTAATCCAAGAATACCACAGTCTTATGATCCTTGGTTTGGGCAACGATCTAAAAAATGTCACTATCGAAAAACTCATTCAAACTCACAAAACGTGCGAGTCCACTGTCCTTCCCAAATTCCAAGGTCGCCTCGAACACGAGTCACAAATAATCCATGACCACTTTCGCACTCAATTCAACTCTGAAATCAATCAGGTTCTACGTGAATATGAAAAAATAATCAGTACAGCTCGAGTCCAAGCTCTACTGATAAGTAGAGCTTGATAGTTTTGATTTGAACGCACTTGTTGTTTTTATTGTTGTTAGTCCCGTATGCAAGTGTCAATAGAGATCAATTCATTACAAATTGGTTTACACACCCTTAAACGATTATAGCTATATCTCTGCAAGGCACGTAACTAATTATTTTAATATGTATATTAAAATAATTAGTTAAGTTAGTTTCTATGTGTACATAGAAAGAAGAAATTTAGTAACCAAATCCTGGGCACTAATCGTAACTCTTTTAATATTCAGTGTGAATAAACCACTTCCAAAAAAACCTCGGGGGAGGCTTGCTTAAATGAAGAAGACAAGCTTTTATCATCCTGCACTAAAATAATGTACTAACTAAGTGTTCATCGCATGGTCTGCAGCTTCCGGTAAATATGCAAGCCAAGAAATGATATGGACCAGTTCTCACCCTTGCTGTACTCATGCAGTAAATAATCCATATATGGAATTATACGCAATTTTATTTTCTCCCATTTTCATATCGTTTGCCAAGTCGAAACCAAACGTTTTAGAGATGTATGAGGTTGGACAACTTTTATCATGCATATATCTGTACGATAAAAGTCAAATATCTGTATGCATTTGAATTTTTATGTCCTGCGTTATTCTCTAATAAATATAAAGTTGGTAGTTCAAGACGGAATTTTTGAAATATTTTCATGTCGGTCAATAATCATACTACGGTGTTTATTTATTTATGACTTTTTCATTTCGAGCACGCCGACCCCCCAATTTTGTAGGGTTACTTACCAGTACTAGTGGTTATTAAAAATGTAAAAAATGTTTGCAATTTTAGAAAATATTTTAGACTTTTCGGCGAAAACTTATATTCGTGAAAACTTCACGAATATAAATATTTCGCCAGTTCTTCAAAACTATATTTTGTCGTGATATTTTGATTTTTTAGCATGTCGCCAAAATTCATCAAATCTCCCTTTCTTCCCTTAAGAATTTGTAGGATACTTCTGACTGCTTACGAAATTGAGTACAATAAATCTAAGTCTTTCCTAATTAGTCTCAACTTAATAGAAGGCCTAAAATTGTTTCGGCGTATACAAATAATATGGCACTTTATTAATTACAATACCAAACATTGCACGTACTTTAATTATTTACACATAAAGCACACGTACAATGTCACAATCAGTTAGAAATGATGCATTTATTAAAAAAATTGACGCCGCGAATATTTTGCAGCGAAAGTTTCTCGATTACATTGTGAACGATTTCGGCATGCTTGGCATTGCCTGCAGACCATGAGCCCATCCATATTACGTATTTATGGACCACATAATCTTGCCTATTTATTTATACATGTAGGATTTCCGTGCTCAATGCACATACATAATCCCAAATTCAGTCATAACTTTTTTGTCATTTTTTTTGCACCATCTCCATCCACTCAGGTCATACTTGGAAATTTCTAGCTATCCTATTTACACAATTGATATGATATCTTGTCAAATAACTCTTTCCACGACCCGATTAAACATATTCGTAACTATAAAAGTTATGTAAACGAATTTTATTCAAGGTTAAGATCAATGATTGATTTTCCAGGTAAAGGGCGGCTAGACGAGAGGGGAAAAAAATAATGCGTCATTGACTAAAACTATTACAGGTGGATTTGTTTCTTTTTATCCATGTGTCATGGGTTTACGAGTGATTTGGTCTTCTCGTCTCATCCACCCGAGGCATTTCATGTACGTAACAAAGTCCACTACAAGTGGGAAATGCCTGCTAATAAAATCCTCTTAATTTTGCAGCAGTGTAGATATGCCATATCGTCGTACTAATTCCGAAAAGACATAAGTGCACTCAATGGTAAATTCCTAAACAACGTAAGTGCACTCGATGCTTAATTCCGAAACAACATAAGTGCACGCCATGCTTAATTCCGAAATGACATAAGTGCACAGTAAAAACTAATTTTTACTATGCACTTATGTCATTTCGGAATTAAGCATCGAGTGCACTTATGTTGTTTCGGAATTAAGCATAGCGTGCACTTATATCTTTTCGGAATTAGTACGACGATATACATAATTTGCCTATGCATGCCTTTACTACGCACACCTTAAAAAAATTAACCAAACGGGTATAAAAGCACTCCGACTTGTGAATCTTAAGCCATTCCGAATATCTAAAACTGTGCATCCAATTTTCTCACATATCTTTCATAAAAATACGTAACGACGACTACGTATTTTTTGTCATCATTTAGCATAAATTTGTCCTCTTTTTCGTATTCCTCCTAACCATTGGACAGGGGTAATTTAATTTTTAAATAAATAGAACATTAAACAGCAAAAAAGTCTACTTATTTTAAGTCTTGTTTTACTCTAACAGAGACCTCTTATCGCATGACGACGCGGTGAATAAGCTTAAAGAATGGGGTACAATTTTCGTAAATCTCTACCGCATAGAAACGTTTCTCATTAAGCGTATTATTTTTCAGGAATTAAACTCAACTGCTATGATGCTAATAGAAATAACAAGCATTGTACAAGTTTGCAAGGCATTCGTTCCGATACTATCGAGTGGCTCATAAATTTTAAGAGGACGAACGACTGTGAATTCGTTGTCACTGGGGGAACCGAGGTGCTCAAAATTTGAAATTATCATTCATCCAGCTCAATAGTACGATAAGTAAATAATTAAAATTTCATTTTATCAACAGCATGCCCACCGGGGTAGTGGGGTCAACACTCATGATGTGACCTTCGAATTAACGATTGTCTCAACAAATACATACATCAGAAATAATTTTCAATTCGTTTGCAACACCAGCTTGGGGCCAAAATATTTGTCCGGATCCGGAGCAATTCTACTGAATGAGACAAATTATCCACGCCATTTTGATGCCCTCTGGCCTGCTGAACGAGTGACTAATTTGAGTCAAGTTAGACGCAATACTAAATGCAAGTAGAAATTGTATTTTGAGATCTCAACAACAATTTGATTTGATCATTTCTCTAAACTTGTGAGTTAATTGGGGTCGAGATAAGTTTTTTCCGCTGTGAAAAGTGTAATGCTTAAATATAAAATATAGATGTGTCCAAGGTTTTGAATTTTTTTTCCTGTTCGTTAAATTATGCTTGGATTTTCAGTGATTATCCTCCTTGTCGCCATGATGAGGACGTCTTCTCACGTTTGTAGACATAGATTATGGGAAAGCAGCCGAAATTTTATGAAAAATAAAAATAAGCACGTGATAAAATTTCAAAAAACTTGTCATTTGTAATTAATAGAGATTATTTCTGATTAAATAAATCATTTTTCCGATTGGCTTGTCTGATAAACTCAATCTCATCGTTTCTCATATGTCTACTTTTGGGATAATTTACACAAATAGCATTATTTAAATAATGTTAAATAAGTGGATGCATTCACTACCATACAATTTTATATCTTTTAGGGGTAATATGAATACTCAAGTTTAACCGAATTTTGACCCATGCGTGACCACAATGCCAATTGTGTGTAGAAACACAAGCTGAAATACAATGTGTCAGGCTACATAAATTTAAATAACAAAACTTTATTCACGGCCTATGCTTTCCAACAAGAAGCAACCTTTTCTAAAAAAAAGGTGTTTTATTTTAAAACTAGACTTTTCCTTACCCTTCCACAAATCAGAATTCACAGAAGCCTAAAAACAAAATATATGTAGAAACTAAATATTTGTTGGTTAGTAGCCATTCGTCTCTAATCGAGCAAGCAACTAAATCCGTTTCGTTAAAATAAACGTTTACTTTCGTCGAATTTTTTATCTCGTCTGGTGGATTTTCAGATGTCCTAACGAGAATTTCCCGAAATATAAAAGGTATGGAATTAACTAATAAATACACTCGTGTAATCAATTATCCCGTTAGGTTTCCCATACATATTTAGTAAATAAAATCTGGCGTAATTAGTGAGACAACAATTTTGCATAGTTACAATTTGTAAGTTACAAATACATAGCAAGTCGCATTTATATCAAGGTAATCTACATATTTAACCTAAAGAAATTGTTTGGAGATGTTCCAAACATGTTAATGAGTTGTATCAGTTTAATAGTAATAAGACTCACAAAGAAAAGATTCCTTGAGGTTGGTAATTTTTTGTGGGGTAGGTTTGATATCAGAAAATCATAACTTGTCAGTGTTGTTTAAAAATAAGAAGATCCAATCCCCCTGGAAAATGCGACTCTCTATGGAAGACCACGAAGGATAGTTGTTCTATGTGTAGAGGGATTACAGCAAAAAAGGGTCGGTGAGATATCACAAAAATAATTTGAAACTTTGCCAAAACGTAGAAAACATTAATGGAAAATTAATTTTCCTATAAAGCTTTTTTCACCCTTAACATTTTATTCAGGGGTCAAATTTTGAAACTTTTTGGCATATTTAATTTAGAAAAAATTCGTAGAAAAATATCTTCTATACACAAATTTTCGATATCTTACCCTTTTGACATATTCTTAAAGGACGAATCCCTTAGAAGGGCTTGGGTACGATACTACCAAGTTTATGTCAGAATGAGCCACAGAGTTGCCCAGCAGCATGGGTATCTACCCACGTATAAATAAATATCGTAAACAAGTAAAGTCAACCTGAAATAGAGAGCCATGTGCCAGCGGTTTCTCTAAAATTTTCGATTTTCGAAATATTTCCGAGTGGTGAGTATTATCTCAATTTCAGCCCGCTCGCAGTGTGAATAAGGTGGGCACGTGTTTTGTTGGGCAGAAATTCCATCACGCTTAATTATCTTATTCTCAATTAATAGTGCCACTCGATCACCAACCTAATGACCCTTGAAAAATGCACTCCCATCTCCCCGTCCCCGGTGAAATTGCATAATTTTTTTTGCATAATACCTTTTTTGCCTAATGCCAATTTGCATACTTTCCTTTTCTGTAAACAGCAAGATTGCATAATGCTGCTTAGCATAATTGCTCCACCTCGTACGTGAAGTGCTGCTTATGCAATAAAAATTCTGCAATATGTGTGTCATGTAAAATTGTTTTATGCAATTTCACCTAGGACCCCATCGCGCGTTTTCTCACCTATGTATTGGATACCACTAGGCGTCCATCTTCGTTCAACCTGAACATTGGCACATATTGATTATCTAATTAAATTTGCGACCGGTTGATATTAGCGTGGCCAGAATTATCTACGCGAGGAGACAGACCTCCATTATTAAAGTTAGTAACATTTTAGTGACATATTTACATGCATAATTTTTTCTTCTTCTTCCATGAATCGTATAGCGAAAAAATTATGGATATTCAACCCGTCACAAACACCCACACGGTCGCACTCCTACCTGAGGTTTGTAATTTCTAAATAAATTTCCCGCTAAATAATTTTTTGTTTTAATTTTCCCGTCTCACCGAGATCACCTTTGCATTCTACAAAATCGGACTGCGATCATAATCCAGAAAGTAAACGTATGTATATTACTTTACCGCCGTGGTTATAAATTTATCACCACTGGTAAAAGTTTATAACCAGTCGACGTCAAATTTACTTGTAATCACGGCTGTTGAGTGACATACGTTAATTTTGAGTTATAATATTAACCCAATTTTATAGAGGGTAGTCTTATTAGTACTGGCATCAACAAAGCGGTAAAAATTATTGTTCCCAGTATTTAAAATTCACTACCACGAAAATGCAATGTCTCTCTCACGGTAATGAATTTAAACAATAATTGCCAACTTTCCTAGTGTTCATTGAAGCTCAATACATTTATCGTACTACGCACTATAAATAAATAAAGTTAAGTAAAATTGCCGCTAACACAACTATTGAGTAAAATCTATCCTAACAAAGGTAAAATTTACTCAAGGTTGAGCAAAGATCTTCCAAAGTTGGATAAATTTTAACTTTTATTGGGTAACTTTTACTCAATAGTTGTCTTGGTGGCAATTTTCTTCAAAATTGCCAAATTTTTACGATAGATTTTACGAAATGTGACCTCCTTTTTGCCAACGACCAACCTGATCGTGTGCACCCAGGTCAACTCAGGATGGGAAGATGCAGCCAGAATTCATCTCCGCGCCCGCGTCATGGTCACCTTGTCGGCTGAATGTAGCAAAAGTTATTTAAATGTGATGCACGTCCGATCAAATTACTACAAACGGATCGAGTTATGTTGGAAACGCGATGAACAATTTCCCCAGTTTCTCCCGCAGTTTAAACATTTCGCTGAACAGTGCCGGGGTAAAGTGAGACACATGAGTACCGAATTCTTCCTGGGTGGGGGACCAGACTCGGAGGAATTTTTACACATTATCAAAACTCTAGGGACGCAAGTGACATCGCTGAACCTGGAACTATTCTCCGTGTATCCTAACGAAGCAGACGTACGTAAGAAATACTACTTCTATAATAATTTCAGTCGTTGCATATTTTATAACCATGCTCTGGTAATAGCCTTAACCTTTTGACTCGTGTCGAAGATAATGGTGTCTTTGTATGTATAAACTCAACTCTATAAAAGGGCTGGTTAAGTGAGACTAGTGGTTTCAGATATTTTAACATTGAGTTTTCAAGATTTCCCGCGAAATCTAATGCTAAATATTTTTAGATTGTAATCACTAGTTGAGACTTGGCTATAAATATGCGATAAAAGCAACAAAACAACCTCCTCAAACTTTTACCAATCCGATAAGAAGTTATTACCAAATCATGTACAAATATATGAAACTCTACTAAGGTTTAACAATTAGGTTCATACAGCATCACTCTTAGAAACTGGGTATTGATCTTCAGAAGATTTCAATACCAGCACACTGGTATTATTAACTGTGACTTGTGAATAATACCAGTGTGCTGGTATTATTCACAAGTCACAATGTGGTATTAAAATATTGCAGAAAATTAATACCCCATGTTTCTACATTGAGGGTACTAACTTGTAATACTAGTGAGGTAAAATAACAATATCGATTTGGACCGATTTTATACCACATTTACCCAGTCTCAGACATGTCCGGCATAAACACGTACGCGGGATTTGCAAACTACTCACTTGCAGTTTGGAAATCGTTCTTTTGGACAAGTTCTTCAAGTTAGTTTGCGGAATTATTTGAGGGAGAATAAATAATTTATTCCGATGAAAATTTTGACACTTCCATATTAACGGGTAAGCCTAAATGTATTTTGCCGTTCTTTTGCCTTCCGGTTTATAAATTAATATTGTTTTTTTTATCTTTATGATTAAGTTCCTCGACTCTTAATTGTGACGAAGAATTTCTTGAGGGACCGGAAGCTGTGAACTTCCTTATCATCAGTTAAGTGCATTTTTTCTTGATTAAAATCTTAAAATATTGACGATATATTTTTACATATATGTAATTTAAAATATTTATTTTTAGCGACATCATCGAATTTGCCAACGAATTTGCCAGCCACATCGAGTTTGCACTAGGTAAGGAAATTTTAAATTGACGAATTAAATTAATATGTAGAAAAAGTCCCCCAGTTGTGAATTGTTTACACGATTTATTTTTTGAAATTACATGCGGTTTTGGATCCGGTGACCTCAACTCATCTGCAGCATTCCGTGAGGACATTTTATAATTTTGTAATTTCCTTTATTTCCACCTTTTGAAATATGTATGTACTTTGTTGAGTTGTAATTGAGTACCAAATAAATATCGTGAAAATCAATACCAAGCTGTATCAAACTGTTGTATTTCTTTACCACATGGTATTATTTCACGTCTCAGGGAAGCAGCCATTTTTGGGCGTGTTTTCCAGTTTAAATGCTAACAACTTGGCTGAATTTATTTTTCATAAAATACTATGCAGATGATGTAATTCTGTAAGCTAAAGGTACTGACTCAGATACAATTTTGTATGTGCTTATCACTCAGCGAGAAAACGTGTGTGATTTGAGTAAAATTTACGGTGAAACAGGAAAGATAATAAATAATTGTTACAACTTTAATTTGATCCGATGACAATTTCAGTTGTACGATTTGGCCTATTAATTCCACCGGGTTTTCAGTCTATTGTATAAAATTTTACTGATTCTATCGAACTTTGATGGGTTTTGGGGTTGATTTAAGGTTTTTTTTTGTTGAGGGATTTTGAAACAAGTTCCTTTACAGTATTCTCTTCAGAGTTGTATATTTCCCGTCCAAAACCTTCGCAACACTGATTCTCTTGTTTTGCTTGTAAAAAATAAATTCTTAGAAAAATTCATTTCAGCCGAATATTTAACATTGCAGGGATAATTCCAGTGTTGTAGTAATTAATTACAAAAGTAATTAATTACTTAGTTAATTACAAGAAAAAGTCGGAAAGTAATTCGTAATTGAATTTAATTACTTCGTGGCAATGTAATTGTAATTAGTAATTAATTACTTTGCTTCAATGGTGTTTCAAAGTAATTAATTACCCAAGTTATTAATTACTCCCGACAAATTAAAATTTTAATACTTATTGTGTAAAATCTTAATTTGCGAGATCTATAAGACTACCGCTTAATTTTGTTCATTGTAAAAAATCCGATAGTCGTTATATATGCGTACTATAGAATTGATTTGTTATTAATTTCCTAACAGACCAGTAGTAGTTTGTCTCTGAGTGATAAACTTTTCATTACCATAACGTTACTAAACGGTAATGGCAGTTACTACCATGCCGGTAGAGTCATATTTCATGTATTTATGTACTCCGCCCAGTAATGATTTAATACCAGTTTCATAAGATTGTTATTTACTGGGTTCCCAGGGTCAATTATTCATTTTTTGTTACAAAAATGTAGCATATTTTACTAATTTAGTAATTTGAACTGTATGAATATAAATTGATTTAAATTTTAATCGTTAATTACAATTCTTTAATACGTTTACCTCCATGATTAAATAAAAATTGTAATTAATTTGTAATTGAGTAATTAATTACTAATTGCTCAAGTAATTGTAATTGTAATTAATTACCCGACTGATGTAATTAGTAATTGAGTAATTAATTACTTGCTCTCATTGGGTACCAAATGGTAATTAGTAATTAATTACATACTCAAGTAATTAAGCAACACTGGATAATTCATTACACCTTGTACATTCAGACCATTGTAAATGTAGAGCAATAGGGGTGTATAGGATTCTGCTTTTCTGCGATTTCTAAATTTATACTCGACTATTGTAAATTTCTATGCTGTCGACCTTTCTCAGAAAGTTTTAGGGTCATTGCATCTTATTCTTGGTTCATGAGAGGATTGGGTTCCGCTCATTTCTTTAAATTAAGAGTTCACTCGCCTATTTCTCCCACTGTACGAATACGCTATAAAATGACGTATTTTTTTAAAAACGCAAAATTACTTTACATTTTCCTAGTATTCTTCGTTGATGTGAAATCTCAACTATTTTTCCCTGGCCCTTGTCCAACACCAACGTCCCTGCCAAACATCAATATTACGAGGGTACGAATAATGTCTAATTTTCATTTCAAAAGTCAAAGTAATAAATGTGTCCTCAATTGGTCCAGTATTCTGGAACCTGGTATCTCTATCAAACCTATGCGTCCACCGTGCAATTATTCTTCTCCTGTCAACTTGGAGAATATTACCCACCACGTGCGGATGGGACTTGGGATGGTGTAACAAGAATGACGGAACGAATGTAAGTAGACTTTTGATAAAAAATTTGTTATTAAAAAATAGAATATTCAACAATTCTAATTTTCAGGACCGGAAATATAATATCAGTTCCTGGCACTGTAAAATTCTTTAGTACTGATGGCTCTGCCGTTTTTACGTCGGATAATCACCTCTTTTCAGGAAATTTGCCAAATATTGGAATTAATTCTCCGGCGGGAGGTATATAACTTACGCATTACATATCCGTGCATCAATCTTACTTTTAAATAGGGTGCTCGTCCTGGGAAGTTGATCACTTGGTATTTTGGCCTACAAGTGGTCATAAAACGATTCTAAAAATCGCAAATTTTTGAAGAATATTACAAACAGATCTAGCATTTCATATCCGCCAGCAAATAAGATTTAAATCCATCGTCCATCTCGTATTTAAGTTTTTTATTCACCTCCGCCATTTGTGTTTTTCCGGAAGGATTTTCAACTTTGTTGCTAATTTTCTTCTACGATAACCGAATTTTTTAAAAAGTATCAACTTTTTCCTAAAACTGGGAGTGTATCTTCTTGCATAGAGCTCAAAATCATTCGATCGGGCGAAGATGAGGGAAACTCGGGTAGTTTTCGTATTTTCACATCAAATTCCCATATGATCCAATGGTAACTAAACGCGATATTTCTTTAGAAATTTTAAAGAAGATTATATTTTTACTTCTGTCTTCACTTGAGAAGGATTTTCGGCATTGGAAAATTGCCTTCCTGGGGTTTCTATCGTGTTTTTATGGGCGTAGGACTCGTCGGCAATGATCAATTTTGTTGGTCAAGTTTTGTTGTGAAGATTGGGAAATGTTGCGTTTACCATTCTATGTTGAATTTCTGTATGCTTTTTGCATACTCTTTGACCCCCAATATATCTGCCTTAATATGATATAAATAGTTTGTATTTATCTTAGATATCTCGGCCGCACCAGGACGTGGAGGGATACTTTTTTAAAAAAATATTCAATCGTTTTTAATTTTCGTTTGGCCGAAATGATGTTTTCTGATCATGATGCTTTTTTCAGATTGGCATTTTCGGATTCGCCATACTTTTTTATGTATGTCTCAATGTTTGCACGGCCACACCCTTCTTCATTGAAATGTAGTCAGGCATTCTCATCAACTTTGAGAAAAAAATTCTGGTACTTACGCAAAACTCTTTTCGCGAGTTCTTCACTTTGAAATTGTGTAGGAAATTTGTTTTCCATTGAAAACCAATGAAATTTTCAGGATATGTAGTTAGATATGTTCATAATATTATACAAAAAGTTAGAATTCCTAAGACTATTTCTTCACCATCCCGTTACCAAAACACCAAGTGATCAACTTCCCAGGACGAGCACCCAAGCTAGACAAATTTTGATACAAATTGATTTTCTGGTTTTCAGTAACGCTTACAATAAATTACATCGTGTTAGCAACGGATTATTCCTCCTACGCGGTAGAATGGACCTGTTATGACTTTGGGATTTCGAACTTCCGTATGTTTCTTAAAATTAGTTTTACTTAATAGTTTGAACTTATTTTGATCTATGTGTATATTTCCAGAGTTCTTGTGGATATTCTCCAGAGGGGCAACGATTTCTCAGAGCAATTTACAGAATATTCGAAAAGCATTGAATTCTCAAAGGATTAATTCTGCCTGGTTAAGGGATCAAGACTTAAGTGGGTGTCACTTTTTGTAGTGACAGGGTTTCCATTAATATGAGAATAATTATATTTACGAAGTATAAAAAATAATATTCTACATTTGTTACGAACAATCTTAAATAAAATGTCATTTACGAACTTTGGAAATGGTTAAGCTCATTTAAACGTCAATTTGTTTCTGTATGCCATTGCCTAATCTCAATAATATTAATTATCGCTAGTATTGGTATTAGTACTATGGTCCGTATATTCAAATTAAGGCAAATGTTGGTTCACTTTATAAATTTTGAATCTCAAATACTCTGACATTTTTCAACCGATTTTAATTTTTTTTATTCACAACTGACCACTATTAACTTATTAGTTGTTAACATATTTCCTGGTCACTGATGTCAATTAGCGCATGCATAAAGGTTTAAACCGAGTCAATTAAATAATAAAATCATAATATATGTATAAACATATATATAAATATAAACATATATAAACATATATATAAACATATATATAAATAATTAAACATCCACGTCTGATTTTATTATTTAATTCACTTGGTTTAAACCTTAATTCATACGCTAATTGACAGCAGTTAATAAAACTGGCCTAAAATCTTTGGTACAAATAAATATGAGCTAGGAGGTCCAGACCACCGGCACTGGAAGCAGAATATGTGGTTTCTGTACGGTTTTGAAGTGAGATAGATAACATTTCATAAACACGAACAATATATAGAAAAAAGGAAAAAATGGACCGAAATTTTCAGGTCAAGGGAATTATAAATTTTGACCCAGGAGGTTCATACTTCATGTCACTAAGAACGACCTTAAATGAGGGGCCCATGCCAAGTTTGGTCAAGTTATCTGTTTTGGGGGCCGAGAAAAAGCTGACCCAGCGCTGGGGTCCTTTAGGGTCGTCTGGGGGCGAGGGGGTGGGGCAATTTGACGAAAAATTATTTTTCCGATTTTTTTTGCCGGGTTGTGAGTCCATTTCGGGTACTTATTTTTAAATTAAAAAATAGAGTGACAGTCAATGTATACCATGAGCGAGAGTCCGTCAATACTACACTCTTAGGAACTTGGTAATAAAAAAAACAAGCGGAGTAGATGTATGACTCTACCGCGACGGAAGTAAAAATTTACACCATGTTGGTATAGATTTAGCAGTAAAATAACACTTTTTGGTAATAATTTTAACACTAATTTGTGTTACTTTTTTACCATCTAGTATTGTTTTAATACCAAATCATTACTATCGCGGTAGAGTCATATATGCACTCCGCGCAGTAATGATTCATTAAAATTTTGTTTAGAGTGTACATAATGTGAAACAACGTAAAGTGCACGTGTTTTAAACGGAGGATCCCGACCGAGTAAACCCAGTTCTACATATGTCCATTTTATTTAGTTCTTCGCCAGAATTTTGGAAATAATTCCTGGTGTTTTGTTTTTTTTTGCAGAAAAGTTATACTTGCGGATTAAAGCGCAGCTGGAGTTACTAAACCGGACTGCTATTTATGTTGGACACTGAGATGCTAATACCCGGAACACATATCGGGTTAGCTGCCGCTGAGGGACCCGGGGAAAGTATTGCTACATAAGGATCAAAGTTTACTAAATTATGGTGTGAGGATGGACATGCTTTTGCCTGGTTGTGGAGCTGGTTGCACATAATACTTGGGCTAGTCAGTGGTAGAGATCACCTAATTCTTGCCAGGTTTCTCGCGCATGCATACACTCTTAGAAATCCAGCATTACATACAATAATATTCATATATGTATGACTCTGCAAAAGCGGTATTTAATACTGCCTTGTAATAGCTCAGTTTTAAAGTTTTAATTTTTATAGACACGTATACGCAAATTTTATACCTAGTGGTAGCAACAAGTGAATTTGCGGACACATATGTATGTATGACCACCTGCATACGCATTTATACATAAATTCAGCAAAAATGCGGTTTTCACGCTATGTAAATATTTTGCAAACTTTCGCCACAATCTTTCCCCGAATCACTTCGCAACCAACCCGAAATCTGTTCCGGGTGTTAGTATCTCAGTATTCTCGCCAACATAGCAGTACATTTATCTCCAGCTGCTGCTCTTTAATCTGACACGTACCACTTTTGTGAAAAAAACACAGACCACGAATGCGCAAAAATTCCGAGAATTATAAAATAAAATGGACATCCAGCTGCGTTTTTTAGGTTGGGATCATAATTTTAAGACAAATAATCAATTCGTATACTGCGTCCTCCCCTACATCGAAGCGCAACGGGGGAGGGGAATTAATTATTAACGGGACCGTGCATAAATATTTTCACTAATTGTGTTTAATAATTTGCACAGTACACTTTCGGCCACTCGTATCAACCTTGTGGGGACGGAGAAGAATTCATATTTTTATTAAGGATCCGATCATTCGGAAACGAGAGGGAAGGAGCCCGATTTCAAATCTTTTGTCGTCATGGGAAATTCCGGATTAAACGGGTGTCGGTTAGTTACATATTTTATAAAAAAAAATATCTAAATAAATTCTTGTGTTAACATGGGTTTTCAAAAACTAGTATTTTCAAAGACTTGCTCACCAGTATTTTCGAATTTGGTGAGAATCATACTTAAGAAAAGAGGGATTATTTTCACTATTTGTTCTCAAACGTATTGGGTGTACTCACGTCAATGTTTCGTACATAGAATTTTTTGCGAAATAATTTACAATATTGTTTTGCAACATTGTTTCGCAAATAAATTTCATAACATGCAAAATATTGTAAACTTGCAATAAAAAATTTCACATTTTTTGTCGCCGTGGTAAATTTAGGATTAAACGGTTGTCGGTTAGTTACATCTTTTATGAAAAAAATATTTAAATTTTCGTGTTAACATGGGTTTTCAAAAACTCGTATTTTCAAAAACTTACCAGTATTTGGTGAGAATCATATACTCTTAAAACTCCGGCAACAAAGTATTACCGGCCAGAGTAACTATGTGACTCTACCGCATCGGTAATAAATTAATTAACTGGTAAAAAATTTGTTATCAAACTGGTAATATTTTCAAATCTCGCGGTTTGATTTATTACTAGTGTGGTAGTAAATTAACTACCAGTCAAGAACAAATTTTTTATCATTGCAGTAGACTCACATAGATACTCTGGCCGGTAATACTTTGTTTCCGGAGTTTTATGAGTGTACGTAAGAAAAGAGGGACTATTTGCACAATTTTTTTGCAGCTTTATTGGGTGTATTCACGTCAATGTTTGGTCCGCATCTGACACATAGAAGCTTTGCAAAATAATTTTCCCATGTTGTTTTGCAAGACTATTTCGCAACTAATTATAAAAACATGGAAAATATTAAAAACTTGCCATCAAAAATTCCAGAACGCCAAAAACTACGCAATATTCCTAAACGAGACCGAAGTTTGTGATACCACGGATGGAATGAGGATCTCACTCGGGGACATTTTCGTCGTCGCGGAACGTGTCCGATTGAAACCTGCCGACCAACCCTGGTGGAAACCAAAATGGAAAGTTTTTTCAAAGAAAAATCTGCAGAGTAAGAATAGTCCAGGATATTTTCAACACACGTGCGTTTTCAGCTTCCAGGTGCGTGCAAGACATTGAACAGTTTGAATGAAAATATGATGCGAACATTAAAAGAGGAGGCTAATTCTTGACGACATGTCAAGAACCATCATTCCCGCTCAGTAACCTCGGGGGGCGATGGTGTGCCGTAAAGTTCACGACTAATCGAGATCTACTTGCAAGGTGAAAAATTGATGTTAATTTTGAGGTCACCTGATCCCGAACGATGGCTAGCAAGTAGCCAAGAATTAGCATCTTCTTTTAATGTTCGCACAATATCTAAGTATTTATAACTTTTTGTACGTCTGCAAAAGTATTGGCAAATCAAGTTAGCTTATTTGCTGTGGAATTTATATTTCCTAAAATAAATTCATTAGCATGTGTACAAATGTACACGCTTAAAAATAATGCCACCGTTTTGAAAAGAAATGCATTCTCCATTCTAAATTAAGCAAACTATACCAAATCCAGACTACCGTTAACTCGTTACACGTAAAGTAAAGTAAAGTACTTAAAATTTACTTAATTCAGAGTGCATTTGATTTACAAATGGGTAGCATTATCACAAAAACATCCGAAATCAATGTCATTGAAATTGACTAAAATCGTGATTTCAGGCAGCGTGAGCAAAGAGGCGCCTTTTTGGGAAAACATTCATGCCTTTTTGCCGTTTTGCCTTTTTCAATGCCCAATTGCCTTTTTTCGTGCCTTTTTGCCCGTTTGGTGCCTTTTTGCCTTTTTCGGTATATTTCTATTGGACATTGCCTGAAATATTACTATTTACAAGAAACCAGGACAACAATATAATTGGCTTACTTTTCGGTTTTCTAAAATTTTACTAAACTTTTACTTCTCCAGAAATACTTTACATGATTATTGACGTATGTACTCATGATAACAAGCATTTATGAATATGCCTATACCACAAGTTGTGTATAATTTGTTTAGTGATGTCGACAATCATCTAGCTCTTGCCAACAAGACATAATTTAATTGTTCACATGTCAACAAACCCATGAATTGTAAAATATTACAACTTACTGTGGAATTATTATAGCCGGTCACCTCATTTGCATATTTTGACGCATACGCGAGAGACATAGAGTTTATTCAACATGGAATGCCCGTATCGTCGAAAATGGGCATAGTGAGATTTATGCAAATGAGGTGACAGGCCTAAATGCAAGGATAATATGTACATATCATACGATCGTATGATCCCATTGCCCCGATTTTACCAAAAAGGCATTTCGGGCAATCGGGCATGCCGAAAATTCACGTGCCTAATAGGCAAAAAGGCATTTTAGGCACGGCATGCCTTTTTGCCCTTGCACACTCTGATTTCAGGCCAGAAGCATTCTGACAACGTTCGACCCAAGTGAGTATTATTCACTACCAAAAACCGAATATTTCCCAAGTGATTCAACCGAATCCTACAGCGCACTAGAGAATACGTTGGTTAGAAGAGATTTTTTTTTAGATTTTACCATAATTTCCAATTTAAGCTATTAATGTTTTCTTGTAAAATTGTCAAATTTTTTTTAGATCCTTTCCAAAATTTTTTCCCACTTGGCCCCCTCAACATTAAAGAATTGCCGCCTAGTGTCATCCTTCTGGGAAAGTGAAGCCGTTCCCATGCTGAAGTCCCGGTCCGAAATTCGGTTCCAATTTTATGCCTACCGCGAACCTTCCAAGTCGACGAGATTTTTCCTCTATAGACATGAAATGTTACCCTTCGCCCATCCCAATTGGCACGTGGACCTCATCGATACCGGTGAAACGGTCATGTTTTGCAAATTAAGGTCCGATTTCGATAAAGTTCTCGAACAAAATTGTGGACCGATCCGCCGACTGAGTTGTGTTTACTGTCCGACAATAAATAACGTGCTGTTGGTTAGGTTGTTGAATCGCCTGGCCGGTTCGTCGGATTGGAGATCGGAAAGGTATGGAAATTTGACGCGTTCCTTGATAAAACTAACTAGGAGGGTGTCCGCGCTGTATTTGAGGTCTTACAGTGCCCCGATGAATGCGCATTATTTGCGGGAAATTGTATCGAGTAAGGAATCATATCCGAGGTTGAGGGATGTTCGGATTAGAAAAATTAATTGGGATGGGATGGAAGCGTTGCGGGGTTTAAAAGCGGGTTTGGTTAGACTGGAGATTAATTGGTTTTCTGACGAGTGTGAGATTCGACAGGTGGAAAAGGTCGTTCAAAGACAGAGAGATTCGTTGGAGTTTTTGTATCTAGAAGTGCCCCCGGACTGGGGGGTTTTTGATGTAGGGGAGATGCCTTACTTGAAAAGGAAATACATTTTGTTTAGACGGGTTTAAATAATAGATGAAAATGCTCGACTCCTTTTTAGGCCTCTTTCTTTACTCTGAATTATATTCATAGCCTAATAGACTCAGGAACACACGCTGTTATCTACAGTACGTAACTTAAGTATAGCTACAATATACTAAAGGTTCAAAAGGCTAGATCTACAACCTCTTGTTTATACCTAATTATATTCATACGTACATTGATTGGGGACCCATTTCACGCATTTCTTAAAGGTTTTAAATTTAAATTTCAGAAAATGATGTAATTTAATGAATTTTCAGATGAATTAAATTTGTATGAATAAAATACAAGCTTGATTTTATAAAATACAAAATTAATGAATTTTCCTTTGTATTGTAATACAGATCTGAATATACATATTATTTAAATTACACAGAATTTAATTAAGCAGGAAATGAAACCTCCACAGATATTGGACATTTAGATTATAATATTAATAAACCGTTGTAACGTTAGAAGTAGCTCACCCTGTAATAATGATTTTAGCATAATTTTGCACCAATGGTGCAGAATTGGCAGATAAAATAGATACGCAATTTTGGCATAATTTTGCATTAATGGCGCAGAATGGGCGGACAGAAGATACACATAATTGTGATATAATTTTCCATCAATGGTCGAAAATAGACGAGGAAAATGCATCCATAATTTTGACATAAAATCGTTACAAATTCGAAGTAAAAATTCTAGTTATTTTTTTCGGTTCATATGCACGTTTGGTGTGTTTTGCATCTATTTTCCCAATTGTTTGGCACCATTTTGTGTTGCCGACTGTTCGAGACCAATGGTGCTACTAATTTGCTAAAATTTGCACCCGGGGCAAATTAATTAGCATCAATTGATGCAAACAACTCGTTAACAGACAGACAGACAGACGGACAGACAGACAGACGGACAGGAGGAATTCAATAGCTCCGGTGCTACGCAGGGTGAGCTAATAATGATTTCAGTATAATTTTTCACCACTGGTGCAGAATTGGCAGATAAAATAGATACGCAATTTTGGCATAATTTTGCATTAATGGCGCAGAATGGGCGGACAGAAGATACACATAATTGTGATATAATTTTCCATCAATGGTGGAAAATAAACGAGGAAAATGCATCCATAATTTTGACATAAAATCGTTACAAATTCGAAGTAAAAATTCTAGTTATTTTTTTCGGTTCTTATGCACGTTTGGTGTGTTTTCCGTCTATGTTCTGAATTGTTTGGCACCATTTTGTGTTACCGACTGTTCGAGACCAATGGTGCTGCTAATTTGCTAAAATTTGCACATGGGGCAAATTAATTAGCATCAATTGATGCAAAAAAATCGTTAACAGACAGACAGCCAGACAGACGGACAGACAGACAGACAGACAGACGGACAAGAGGAATTCAATAGCTCCTCTGCTACGCAGGGCGAGCTAATAAACCGTTGTAACGTTAGAAGTAGCTCACCCTGTGAGAATTATTTGACATAATTTTGCACCAATGGTACAGAATTGACGAATAAAATAGATACACAATTATGGCATAATTTTGAATTAATGGTGCAGAATAAGCGGACAAAATATATACATAATTCTGATATAATTTTGCACCACTGGAGGAACATAAGAAAATCAACCATAATTTTGACATGAAATCTTGACAAATTCGAAGTAAAAATTGTACTTATTTCTACCGGTTCTTCCGCACTTTTGGTGCGTTTTGCATTTGTTCCCTCAATTGTTTGGCACCATTTTGAGTCACCGATTGTTCGATATCAGTGGTGCTAATAATTCGGTCACAAATGCCAATAACTCGCTTTAATTGGCATCAATTGATGCAAAAGAGTCGTTAACACACAGACGGACGGACGGACGGACAAGAGGAATTCAACAGCTCTCCTGCTACGCAGGGTGAGCTAATAAAATGTAGTTTTCTCTTTTCGATGTCAGCCGACTCTAACTTGAAGGAGCAAAGAACAAACATTATCGTAGGCAAAATTATACGTGAATATGAATTTGGGGCTAAAATGCTTTTATAACCAGGTTGTTTACATTAAATAGTAGTAGTGGTAGTCATTTATTGTCACACATTCATTTAATTTATACAAAATTTAGAGATCAATTTGAACCCCGATTAACAGGAAATACTCAAATATGATCTATGAGTCAAGAGTTATCACACTCAAGAAATATCACAAATGCCAAATTCTATGTCAAATTGTAGTTTTGGACGATTGGCTCGCACTCTGGGCCAATTAATAAACATCAGTATAGACATTCAGGCTATCATGCTGCCGAAACGCTTGACTAGTTATTGAAGTTTTCTGGAGTGAAATGATGAATATTTTTCCAATCATCTCCTCAGGATGGACAACGAAAAATGGGGCTACCACAATACACTAAAATTGTTCCATAGACAATATAATAAAACTTTGCTTAGCGTAGAGTATGTTATTTGTCAACTAGCCTATTCAATAATCTATATGCATAGAATGCCAAAACACATATGTACACTCTTAAGCAAATCAGTAAACATGGTATTGATGTGTGACTTTACCACCATGGTAATGATTTGGTTAATTAAACAAATTATTACCATATGCTACAAAATTTAATACCACCTAGTAATAAAATGAGTACCACATAGTATAATTTCATTACCGAATCTATACCTGGGTGGTACCACTGTTTAATACAAAACCGTTATTTTTTTCTAAGAGTGTATCTATTAACAGGTACATAGGTATTTCATACCCGCATGTACATATGTACATATTAAGTACGCATATATGTACATGCATATGTACACATGTTGTCTTGTCCATAAAGACCTCTTTGTATAACCAAAATTTACCCAGTTCATATTATACGCTAATATTTCAATTTCGGGAGAAATCCCGGGATTTTTAAGGGCTAAAAACGGGAATCGGGATTCCCGGAATTTATAAAATCGTCCGGGATTGGGATCCCTAGCTCTGACGACAGATACTGCCGCATATACTCTCAATGTCAATGTTTTTTCAAAAAAGCGTGAACAAGGGGTCGACGGTACCACCTACGACGTTGATTGTGATGACCAAAAATAAAGATGAATAGTTGTTCTACAATGTGGCAAGCCAGATTTTCAAATATTTCCTTTATTTTGTAATTATTCGACGGTACACTTTATAATAGCTTTATAGTGTAAATGGCATAAGGATTCGAATCCCGTCAATTTCCATTAAGCTGGTCCAAGGCGACTCGTTTGAATCAATTCGTCAAAATCGTGCCGACAAAAAGCATCCAGGTGGCGATAATCATGTAGATCCCGAAAAAAGCTTTCCTCCCTCCTTTAACTCTTGCCTCATAAATGGACTGAACAGGGGTACTTTTCAAGTGATAGTCGTGTCCAGGGTACCCACTATGTAATTTAGATTTGACTAGGACACTAGATGAAGGATTCATTCACATTTTCGTGTAAGACTCATATTTGGCGCCGTGGCGTGGCGCCAAACTTAAAAATCTCCATTTTCGACCAATTTCGAACCTCGATAACTTTTGCAATTTCCGTGGGATTTTCAAAATTTTGGGCTTAAAATGATCACAAACGTCAAAATTTTAAGAAATGAATAAAAAACGAAATATTTTTATTTTTGAGATATTTTAAACAAAGTTTCGCCAACTCCCAGTCTCTCAGAAAATCGCAAAATTTTGAAAAAATTTGAAACAATCAAAATTTTGAAAAACTTCATGGTATACGCAAGTCGAACTCTTTTTCATGATTTTTGGAAATTTTTGCGAAAATCCGCCCAGGATTTCAAAAATTATGGCGGTTTTAAAAATGAAAACATTCAAATTTAACGAATGTGGCGCCACGCCACGGCGCCAAATATGAGTTTTACACGAAAATGTAAATGGATCCTTCATCTAGTGTCCTAGTCAAACCTAAAAAACATAGTGGGTACCCTGGACACGACTATCACCTGAAAAGTACACCTAGTGAGACAATAGTACTGAGATCTCCAAAGATACGCCAATGCTCAAGAATACGGGCGAGGATACGTCTCCACTCCGCCGTGCGGTCAGGATTAGGACAGCAAGTAGAAAACATGCTGTCAAACTAAGCCAAGTTGAATGGCCTACTTAATGCCGGAAACACTGAAAAATTTGATTTTAAACATGATAAAAACCCATATATCTCTGAATTTGATAGGAAGATGGAAACTTTCCCCCTTCGCGTGCCTCCAATATGTTGAAACCAGTCTAACTGATATCGTAGGGACAAGTTCAAACTTGTGTAGTTTTGAAGCAGGTCGTCCTCCAACACCTGGAACACAATGAACCCTTGAAGCGATGTCAAGTCAGCAAGCCGCCGTACCCCATGGTGGGAATTTCAATATCAATGACATCAAGCAATTCCTGCAAAGTTGTTACGTTGGGGCCAAAGGTGCCACCCGTCGACCAAAAATATTTATTCAGATTTGACACATTTTTGCCGAGTGTACCCAACAGATGGAGACAATCGAATGGAGCACACTGTAAACTTTACCAACGTTCAGACCGTTCCATCCCATTTTGGGTTGTTGAATGTGGTGATTGTTAAAGTAGTTTATTGGCACTAAAGAGAAGTCTTCGATGGTGGACAGGTCAATTAAAATTATCTCCATTTGGTGCAGAGTAACAAATATGTTAGGATTTGTGAGAAACGTTTTAATCTCACGGGGTGCCGCGGTCATTAGAATAAAATAGTGTGAGCTCGTCTCAGGATGGATGAAGGAAGGAAGTTGCATAAAATTCTGATATCGGCTTCCTTCAAACAAGCCATAGTTTTCTGGTAGAATTGTGAACGTTGCCCAACAATGTCTCGCAGGATTTAGTTTTCGCACTATGGAGGATTTATCTTGGATTATGAGACCGTTTATTGTTGTATTAATCACATAGTCGTATGCCAGCGATATAATTGGGACAAAATTAATTGAATTTGTTCCCCATGCCCGACTTCTTCCTGTGAAAAGCATAGTTGTGCAATTTTCAAATGGAGCAAGGTGCTTTGCAATCTCATCACGATATTCGGCCTTGTCGTCATTGGCGTGTTCACCATCTTCTACAATTGGCCAACCGTATGACGTTCCAGCTCGGAGTAGGAACAAGCAATGAAGTAGACCTAACTTAAATTACAGCATAATTTGCTTGACTAGCAAATACCGTAGAAATGTAGTTGGTATTTCGGCAAAAATTTTGCTCGCTAATTTACACGATACAGTAACAAATTTTTAATGAAATTGTTTGGTAATCGTGTGGGATTAAACGAATCCATTGGGATCGAAAATAGGTAGTAAAAGACCACGTAAGCTTGGGTGGATATGCGCTTTACAATAATATCTATCACAGGTGTCTTGTTATTTGCACCTAGAATCTTCGTGCAATGAATAGATTGTGTTAATATTAGATGTTTACGTCTACATAAT